CTTGAATGTGCCATGCGTAGTGCTTGACACTCTGTCCTTCGTGAGGAAGTTCAGGTCACTGGGGCACTCTTCACTTGTGGGTCGGGAGGCCCCTTTTCGAGGAATGTAGTGATTCCTGATCCCACGTGCCAACCTGGTGGTAGATCTGTCACTTTCTGTAGATCTACATCAATCTGGAGGTTCATGTCTTCGGTGGCCATTTTGTCATAGTCTCTGACTTTATTGGTCCATATGCTTGCGGCTTGGTCAGGAAAGAGAGTGTCTCTTGCTGGTCCATCTGTTGTTGGCGAGATCTCGTTTGTGACCTCTGGTGTTTCCTCTGTAGGACCTGTGCCTGTGGTTGGATGTGCTGGTGGCTCTGCACTTCCTGAGGCTTGTGCTGGTGCTGCTGAGGCTGTACCTGTTGCTGGTGGTGCACTGCCTTCTGGCTCCGGTGGTTCTTCTTGATCATCCACATCTCTCACTAGTTGCTCAAACGTGTCGTCTGAGGCGGTCTCAACGTCATCGTCAATTCGACAGGCGGTGGTCCCGGTCCATCTGTAATGAAGTGACCTGGCCGCATCAATTGTTCTCCAATCATCTCTTAGTCTGACACGCTCTGGATGTGGAGGGTCTCGTCTGATGCTTGTCATTCTCTCGTTTCGAAAACGATCAGCTGGCACTTGTTCTGAGAGGGTCGGCACATAGAGCTCCTTCCGTGCCAGGTTGTGAACTCTGGTCCATGTCTTCTTGTCATCACTCACCTGCCAGTAGTCAGCCAGTCCAGCATAGGAGTCAAATTCCCCTTCCTGCTGCTGCTCATCTTGGTCGAACTCCTCGTCCTCCTCATCACTGGAAACCTCATACCGCTGTCTCTTGTTGGTCTTGGTGAGGTCTGTGTACTGGGTTGTGCCTCTGCTTCTGATGTCCTGCAGTGCTTGTTGGGCACGATAGAATGGATCATCATCATGGGTCTTGTTCTTCTCATCGCGAGGGACTGGCCTCAAGTGTTCAGGCGCTGTCCTGAGCAAGCTTGTTCCGTGCAAAATCCAGTAGATGGTTGAATGAGGCCCACCATCTAGCTGCTCCACCATGACCACACGAGCGGGCCCCTTCCACTTCAATTTGGGACCAATGCCGCCAGGTCCATCCCTGTAGTAGTAGCATAGATCTCCGATGTGGAAGATCGTGAGTTGTCCAGTGAACTTCTGGTTCATGGCTCGTCGGAGGCGAGTGTCAACATCCGCAGAGAAGACAGCATTTGCAGGTGATTTCTGTCGCTGCAGCTTTTGTAGGAACTCATCCGATGGATCCAGTGATGGTGGTGGCAATGGCTCTTCTGACAGGAGAGCTGGAATGTGGGGGGTGTAGCCCAGCACCCACTGCACTGGACTGTAGCCGCGGACCGGTGCCCCGATTGACCTGGGGAATCACGTAGCATAGTGCCTGAATCAACTGTTCTCGAGGTTCTGCAGGCTGCCTTGTTCTTGTTCTGCCAGATAAAGCTCGAGTGCCCTCCTTGTCGCCTGATGTCTTCTTTCCAGGATAGCCAAACGAGAGTGTGCTTGTACTGGTGAGATCTGAAGAACAATCCCTTGTTCTGAGCACCAGGATTTGGCATAGTCGGAGGCCCAGCAGCGATGGTCATCCACCTGAAGGGTCTTCATCGGGCCAAAGGTGCGGATCCAAGATTGCTCCAATGCGAGACTGAACTCTCAGGTTGTTGAATTCGCTGTAGTATCCCAGTCAGTCTGGGCGTTGGTTCCAGCACTATTCTTTCATCATCCTCAGCAGTAGACTCAGCGGGAGCAGGGTGCTGATTGGGCTCAAGCTGTGGTTCTCGTTGTTCTGCTCCTGCCACTGATGGAGTGTACTCATTGACATCCATGTCATCCTCTTCCAGCGCAAACTCCTCAGGCTCATAGAACAGCATGTCAATGGCTTCACCGATGTGGTAGCAGAAGGTGTGTTGATACGCCCCGGCCCCTGCTGCTTTTGTCAAAGATCCCACTCCAGGGAGAAAGCCTTCAAGAGGAAGATGTTCATGATCTCCTGGACAGGTCCATGCCAGATAATCAGCCATGGAGGCACTTGTCAACTGCAATCTGGTTGGCTTCTTAACGAACTGATCTGCTATCTTCATTCCGTAGGCGCACTGATCCAGTCGGCGTGCCCAACCAGGAAGGTTTGACCAAGTCTTTGTTGTCCAGGCCTTGTATCCGGCAGGATGTTCAATGGCTCCATCACGGCCTTCATTGTATTGAATTGCAAACGTTCTCTCTGCCAGCTTCAAATGAACCGCTTCTTCATAGTCACGGTCGCGCTTCAGGGCGAACTCTTGCTCCGGGGTCAAGGCATTCAGGGCCTGCATCTTTGACCACTTCTTGCATGCAGGGGCCAGCCAAACGAAGTCCGGGGCAACGTCCTCAAGCAACTTGTAGTAGGCGTTCCGGTGCTCTGGCTTGTCAAAGTCCCAGCCTGTGTTGATGTCGAAGCTGTAGACCATGTAGCCACGCCGCTGCCTCTCTAGTGATAGGCCGGCTTCACCAGAGTATATAGACTTCCCAAAACACCTTGGCGCCAGCCTCGTGAGCACGCAATCCTTGCTCAAAAACTGTTCGACGATGTGCAAACATGGTGACATGGTGGAAGCGTATGCCACGAAGAAGCTTGTCTGTAATTTCTTTTCTCACCACGGCGACTTGTTCATCATCTTGAACTGGGTGAGGCTGCGCTTCGTGGTTCTCCTCATCAGTGATGTTGTCATTCAGGGTCCCTTCAGCTTGTAGGCAATGCTCTGGTGGGTCTCGTCCTGTGGCTTCCAGGTATTGCAACAGCGTGTAGGTGGACGTGTGCATAGTACCTGATCGTTGAACCATCTCGAAGGTCTCGGTGGTCACCAGGTCGAAGGCAAGGTGCTTGCCCTCAGGATCAGCTTGCGCTCCTTCATCTAGCCGTAGGAGATACTCTCCACGGTCACCCTTGACGGCGGGTCTCCATCCTTGGTCGCCAAAGGAGATGAGGTCCTTGTCCCAATCCACCTTCACTTTCAAAGCCTTGAGAATCGGTCGACCCACCAAGAGGGGTGTCGCTCCATCCACGAGGAAGCACTCAATCAGGCCTGACAGTCCATCCACATAGACAGGAAGCTTCACAGTCCATTCTGCCTTCCGAAGAGCGTCTCCCCCCAAGCCAAACATAGCCAAACATCTTGGTCGTGGGATGGAACGTGTAGCGCTCAAGTGGAACTCCATGCCCATGCATGTGCTCGATGATGTTCATCAAGACTTCATGGCCGCGCACCATGCTGCTTGCTCCTCCATCCTGAAGCCCAAACCATCCTTGGTCAGACAGCATTGGGGTTCCTCGTTGGCCGAGGTCGTGCATCATGAAGGCCTGTCCTGCTGGTTTGGTGGCAGTATCAGTCTTGGCACGTTTTGGAGACGGTGATCCCTTGTTGGAGGGACACTCAGCTGCAGCATGACCAAATCGTCCACACTTGAAACACTGCATGGTGTCTAAGGCTGTACGACCACGGTTCAAAGCTGTTCCTTTCTGCGGTGGAGTCTTGCTCTTGCCTTTTCCTTTCTTGCCCTTTTTGATCCCTTGTTGACAGGTCTCTGTGTTGTAGCAGAAGACGATGGCGATCCTGTCATCTCGGATTGCGAGGTCAAAGCAACCACGGGATAGAAGCCTCTTGCAGCTCGTAGGTTGGCAAACGGCCGTCGTGCATCAATCAGAGGCAAACGGAAGGGTAGTGCACAGAAAGGGTTTTGCAAAAACCTATTCTACTAACATCGTGGAAGGCGCGGGACATTCGTAGAACCCAAGGCTATTCGTGGACAGTTCGTGGAATGGTGGGCCAGTAGCAGAACTGACTGCAACGAAATCCCAGAAACCTTCGCAGAGCTTCGTGGAAGGTATTTTTGATGCACTAACTTCGTACAAGCGATTTTTGCTGACCCCCTTTCTCCACACACCCTCCATTTAGCCTTCAATCAAGATAGGCTGCATATGCTTCTTCCAGAGCAGGGTCCTGCTCCTCTGACCATGGGTCATCCTGGTAGTAGAGCTCTTCATCCTGGCCAACGTAGGCGAGGTCATCCTCATAGTCCTCATAGTTGGGATCTTCTTCATAGGCATCTTCATCGTTCTGGGTCTTCCGGGGATACCAACGTCCTTGCCCTTGGCAGCGTTGGAGGCGGAAGATGGCGGAAGGTTTGGAATTGCGTAGGGGTGTCCTTTTTGGCCGCGGCAAGGTCTAGTTGCTGGATTGAAAAGGGCGCCCCATATGGGGTGCATGTGCCATGTGTTGAGGGCCTGCCAGAGAATTGGACTGGAGAGGGCACCCCCTATGCGGTGGGAGTTCGCGTGGATTGGGGTTGTTGAGGGCAGGAGAGAGAAGAGATTTTGCAGCAGGCAAGCGCTGGAGGGGGAAGGTTTTGAATTGCTTAGAAGTGTCCTTTTTCTCCGTGGCAGAAAGCCATCTGTTGAGGCCGATTTGGAGTTGTTCGGAGCTCGTGCCCCGCTGCTCTTGGGGTCCGGCTGGGCGTGCTGCGTGGCGGGCAGGTGCCACAGCTTTCGTTGGATGGTGCCCCGGCTGAGCTTCACTGTTGCTCACTGTTGCTTTCCGAGGCTTGCGGTAATGAGAATTGGATCCATGCGAACTTCGAAGTTTGAGCGTGTTTGCGCGAACGTGAATTGCAAGTCTGCGTGTTGTCGCTGGTTGAGGTCTTGATGGTGCTTGTTACCTTGTTCCAGGAGGACATAAAGACATCAAAGTACTACCCCCAATCAGTGTGGCTACGATGTCAACTTCATCCCATGAAAGTACTATTTGCCCGATGTTATCCAACCACTTCCTCTTGCATGCCAAGTCTTTGCCCAGGCTTGCCCCGAGGACACCCCGTAACCCAGAGGCTGGCTTTCGCCCCCTCCCGTCTCAGGTATGTTATACATTATGTACCTTGTGGACCTAAAAATGTAATATCGTGTGTTGTAATGCGCTGCAATGAAGTGTAACGTAATGTAATGTCGTAATGTAATGCAATGCAATGTAGAGCGGATGTCTGAAGGGGGCTCAAGCCTGGAGTGTCAAAACATTTATAGGCGACCTTGCTATGCACAACGCGTAAAGTTGACTTCAACGGGCGCAAGTATGGGGGTTTACTATGTGAAATCAGTGTTTTAGGCGCATGCTGGCCCATTGTGGGTTTGTAGATATATGGCTGTATTACTTCATGGTGTGGGCGTTCATTTGACTTGATGTTTACTTGGGCCTTTTGCGCTTCTGGCAGGTTGAGGGATGTTGAGGGAAATTACAAAAATGACCCGGCCAAGCGGTTGTTTGTCACATTGAGGCGTTGCGGCATGGTGTTTTTGTTTTTTCAATTTCTCAATCCTCCCTATGGCATGGGTGGATGCTAGTCCAAGCTTGTGTTTAATGTTGAATCGCCAGGAGGCCCGAACTGATTCTACCGATGCATTCTGAGCGAATCTTCAAAGCTTCTTTGCTTGTCAGAGCTTCTCGCGTTCACAGAAGAGTTCTAGAAACAGGTTTCGAGAGAAATATTGAATACACATTTGCTGAGTTCATTGGATGTTGAAATTCTCACGGCAAGTCTTAGTCAACAGGTGGGGTTCTTACGGAACTGAGCTTGTTGAGGTGCAAATACCTGACGAGTTGAAAGACAACTACAAGAGTGGCTTGCCCGCTTTCAGGGAGCCGAAACTTGAAGCTGGCGAGAATCAGCACAACCATAGAGTTCAAGGAGAAACGGTCCCGCGCCTGCAGTTTTTGCAGTGTGTAGATGGATGTTCGGAGTCCTTGTTTGCCAGTGCTGTTTCAAGCGTGTGGGTTGCTTTTGCCAGAATACCATTCAAGGTTGCCGGGACTTTGCATGAAAGCGGCCTCTTCGTGTACACCCTTTCTTCGGGCTATATTCCAGTCTTCTTGGAGAATGTGCAAGTGCTTGTGGAGCTGGAGAAGTTCCTTGTCGACTCGCCGACACGAAGTGAATCCCGTGGCTTGCACTATAAGAAAGAACCAGATGGTGACAAGGTGCCTAACAAAGTGGTGAAATGGGGGTCCTTTGTATATGGCATGGTGGTCGCGGAGAATACCAACTGGGTTCAGGTTGGCGAATACTATTTGCCCATCGAGTGGAATGGACACCAAGTCCTGTACCCTGCAGAGAGTTGGAACGCGGCTCCCAAGTCATTTGCACCCGATCAGACGGCTCGCCTATGCTTGTTCGCCCCTCATGAGGGCGACTACTTTGTGACAGGAACCTTCACCAAAAGCTGGAAAACCGCCTGGGACCTCACTCCTGAGCCCTTCTCGGAGAGCCGCGCGAAGGGATTTAGGGGCAGGATCTACTATGTTGATGTCCCGGTGCAAGAGCTGAATAATGCAGAGTTCAAGTTTCGGTTTCATGAAAAAGGGACATGGAAGCAGGTTACCGACTTCTTGTACATTACCGAGAAACTGAAGTGGGAGTATGACTCTCTCAACAACCGCACAGTGAAATTAGATGGTCGTGTGGCTCCTGGCTCAAAACTTTTCATGTATTGGGGCTTTCCTGAAGCATCTGAGCAGCATGTGATGGAATTCCTCAAAGTGGTCTTGTCAGGGCCAGGGTTGAATGGCCTGGATGAGGCAATGAGGCGAGTGGATGAGGTCCGGCAAAGCGTCAGGCAGGTCACTTGCAAGTGGCCCACTGCGCGTCGAACAAGTGTGGAGCAGTTCGATCGTTTGATCCCACTGGCACTGCGTGACGTACTGGACTCGCGCCCTCCTGCCGGTCCGCAGCCCTGCAGCGGGGTGTTTGTGTGGATGGCAGTATTGGAGCAGAGGACCCGTGGCAATCTCAGCATGCTACACCACATCAGGCCGGAAGTGGTTTCCGTTGTTGCCAAATGGCCGCCAGACATCATGTCGGATGCCAGGCTTGCGGGCTGTGTTCACGCAGCTGCCAAATCGGCTTTGCGAGAGGAGGCCAGAAACACAAGCAGGAAGCTTTCTGGACAGTGGCTGCAGGCCGCAATTCAGGTGATCCTGCACAGTGAGACTTCAATCGCTGAGATTCCCGGTGCAGAGCTTGTGGAAAGAGGCGTGGTGCCTCAGTGGGCTGAAATTCGGCTGAAGGATGCGCCACAGGCCAGGATAGAGTCAGCCCTCAGGATTGCATTCAAACCTGCTCATACACTTCAAGAGGTCTTTGATGCTGCAAAGGCATTTCTTGATCACGCTGATAGGCGAGCATGGGGGCCTCTTTGTGTGCAAACAGCGTTGGAAGAAGGGCTTGCTTGGGTTGAGAGATCTATGGATTGGGGTGCCGGTGCCAACAACCTACAGCGCTTGCTAGACTGCCTCGATGATGCTAGGGTTGATGAGAAGAACCTCGTTGACATCATTCAGAAAGCCTGGCGACGCTTGGGGGCTCGACCGCACATCATACCAGAACCAACCGGCCACCTCAACCAGAGCACGCGCATTGTGTCTCAAGCCCTCACCGCCGAACCAGAGGATGCAGACTTTGTTGAATTTGAAGGGAGTTCTGCCTTTTCTTGGTTGCGACTGGCTGTGCTTGCAAGCAATTACTCTGTGCTACTCTCAGCTGTCACAAGGCATGTTGATTTGAAGTGCTTTGTCATGCCATGCTTGGACCAAAGTGCACTTACGAGCAATTACGCACCTTTCTTGCTATCAGCCTCTCGCTTTCGTGGGTGCTGGCCCCTGCCAAATTGACCACACGGGTGGCATGCCACCAAAAATACCACACCCTCGACCCAAGTTGCACGACGCATGGTGATCACACTCCTTCCGGATCAGGAAAGCAGCATTGTACAAACTTTCATTGCAACCGCACAGGGGGCCACGCTAAATCTCCGGACCCAGTTGACCCAGTTGAGGTCATTGGGTCAACTGGGTCAACTGGGTCCGGAGATTTAGCGTTGCCACCGGGTCAACTGGGCCCACCGCCACCACCACCACGACGACTACTACTTCTTCTTCTACTACTGGGTGAACTGGGGTCAACCGGGTCAACTGGGGTCAACTGGATCAACTGGGGTCAGCTGGGTCAACTGGGGTCAACTGGGTCCGGAGATATAGCGTGGCCCGGGTCAACTGGGTCACCCTCAGTTCAACAACGGTCGAAGCCAGGAATCAGGTGCAAACCAGGTGGACTTGTGGATCTTTTCCAGGTCCAAACCAGGGATCAGGTGCTGCGTGTTCGATCGTCACAGGCTATCCACTAAGCCACCGGCAACTAAGTCATCTCATCCATAGAATTCTGGAGCCTGAGTAAGTGACCTGTATTTTAGAGCAACACCAACCCTCCTCATCTGTGGCAACATGGAGCTATAAAGACATGATCTAAACAATGGAAACCAATCTCAACATCAGACATTCCGTGTAGAGCTTGATTCGGAACCTTACTTGTTCAAGTTCAACAACGGTCTCCATCACAACCTCGGTTGATCCAGCTTGATCCACTTCAGAAGCCAACAGTTGGGGACCGCTTCTTCCTGCGGGTCAAGAGAGAGCTCTAGATCTATCCACGACCTGTGAACAAGCGAGTTGGTGATGTAAAACTACTAAAAGAAAGCTAGAAACCAAGATCAACACAAGACATCTTGTGTTGAGCTTGGTTGGGACTCCCTCTTCCATCGAGTCGACCATGGCCGCGTAAACAACATTGGCATATAGTTATACATATTCTAACCATTGGACACGGTTGAGACACTGCCTCCATCAGGACCTCGGTGGAAAACAAACGCACAAACAACAACAATGAGTTGCGAAAACACAATCTAACTAACACATAGAAACCACACTCCACACCAGGCATCCCATGTTGAGGTTGACTGGTGATCTTTCTTGATCCAGTTCAGACAATGCCTCTATCACAACCGAGTAGTAGCAGTGGACCCGGTTGACCCCAGTTGACCCGGTTGACCCCAGTTGCGCCAGATCACCCAGTTGACCCAGTTGACCCCAATGGACCCACTTGACCCAGTTGACACGTAGTAGTAGCGGTAGTAGTCGTGGTGGTCGACTTGACCAGGCGGCCACGCTAAATCTCCGGACCCAGTTGACCCAGTTGAGGTCATTGGGTCAACTGGGTCAACCAGGGTCAATTGGGTCAACTGGGACACCCTGTTCAACCGGCTCAATTGGGTCAACTGGGACCACAGATTTAGCGGCCCCCTGTGCCGACAAACTTTCACAAATCAACGTCGTCAAACATATACCGTATACTACACAATTTGCTGTCACTCTTTTTGAAAGCGAATCTTTAGGCAATAGTTATGGAAAAGGACATTACAGCCAATTTTGTTTTCCGGGGAGGAGTCATACTGCACAGTTTCGAGGCTAAGTCTCAAACATGAGTGGCAATGGCACAGACTTCACAAGACAAATTGCCTGCCTGCTCGAAGCAAGCCAGCTGCATCACATTGCTACGTTACCTCAGCGAAATCAAAAATTGCGGTTTGTTTTGGAGGTGAGGGTGGGCTGATTCGCCGCAGCAAGAAACAGAGCCAAATCAGAGCTGCCCTGAGTAGCCCCACTTCTATTGTGGCGACACCAGTGACAGCAAATTCTCAGGTCAGGATCTCCTAAATGCTAGGCCACTCCTATCCCAAGCTGAGTTTGTGGCCCGTAGGGATTTGCGAATCACATCGATCAAACGTCCCGCTTCATTGTCACAGATGGTCATTGCCTGTTCTATGCCATTGCACAGGACACTTCACTTTCTGCGAGTTGAGGTGACATGTACTCATCATGCCATGTCAAAGACATGCGCAATCGAGAAGTGTACCACGCACACCGCAGACCGCTTTGATGGCCAAAAGAATTCCGCATGGTAGCGGAGCCGAGGAAGGTGACTTCATAGATTTCACCGGAGGCTCCAGGGAATTCTTGAAACCGGGCAGGACCCAAAGCCCGGAGGGGCCGAGCCTCAGCCATTTCGGCAATCAAGGGCAGGTGACTTTTTGAAGTACAAGATCCCTGGCTACATGTACGTCCCCAAGGAGGTTGTTGGGAAGGAAGATGGGGATTTGTGGTGAGGTGGTTCACCTGCCATGTCACCGGCAGGATCCCCGACAGCTGGACAAGTTGATGGGCAAGAACTGGCAATGCGCATGATCCAAGCTGCTGAATCAGCTAGTCTGGCGGCACGCCTTGCAGCTGAGGCCATCCAGAAGAAAGGGAACTCGGACGACAGAGCATGGTTCCGTGTGCTTCCAAAGCGACTTCAGCTGGGGGCTAGAGCAATATCTAGCTTCATTGGATGCTGGCTTCCGCGGGACTTCAAGGACCATAGATCCCTCGATTCAGACCGACGAGGAGAGACAACGCGGATCCTTTCTCTATGCCTTGCTGGCTTCACTGGTTCGAAAGCGCCCGCTCTCCCTCATTAAGCAGGTCAAGGAGAACAATGGAATGGTGGCATATCGAATGCTGGTGCAATCGCTTGAACCCTCGTGGGGATTCCTGACCATGATTTTGGAATGGGGCCAGTTCGACATGAAGAAGGGTGGAATCCTAGCTCAGCCCCTCCGACTTGAGGAGGCCTTCATCGAGTATGAGCGCGCCGGCAGCAAGCTCGAGGACAGCTTGAAGTTCGCCATTTTGATGAAGTGCGTAAGCCGTCAACTGAAAACTTGGCTCCAGCTTAATGTGGCCGAAAGTCAGGACAATCATCCAGTATGACAACGCTACATTGAAGTGGAGTTCGACGATGTCAGGAGGCCCAGCACCTATGGAGATCGACCGCGTTGCACAGAAAGGTGACAAAGGGAAGAGCAAGGGCAAGGGCAAGGACGCCTAGGGCAAAGGAAGAGGTGATGCCAAGAATACAAAAGGCAAAGGGAAGATCCAGCCAAAAGGTCAGGACTATGGCCAGGGCAAGAACCAACAGAAGGGCAACAACAAGGGTGATGGACAGAAGGGCCAGAAAGGTAAAGGAGAAGGAGGATCTGTCAAGACCTGCTATACATGCGGCAAACCAGGACACCTTGCCCGTGACACCTGGCGAGCACGACAGGTTGCAGATGGTTCACCCCAGCAGCAGCAGCAGCAGAGTCAGGGAGACTCTTCATCGACCTGGACCTCAACGAGTGGAAGCCAGGCAACCAAAAAACAGCTGCTGTGAAGAGGATCGTGGAGGTGAACCCAGTTTTATAGGAATTTGATGAGCCTTTGATCTTTGATCTACGAGGCAATGTGCATGATGGCCAGGTGCGGATGATTCAGTTCTACCACCTGGACTATGGCAACTCCGATGAGGAGGTTGAGAAGGATTTGAACATCATGATGGTGAGAGATGGGAGCAGGGTTGTTGGACTCAGGATCTGATGCTACAGTGCTCCCCACCTCATTCCTTGCAGCTGGCGTGGAGATAGAGGAGGACGGACCCATGCTGCAGGACGCCCACAAGAGCGTCTGCTTTGTTTTCGAGGCAGAGAACGACAAAAAAATCCAGGTCTTCGGGAAGGCTCATTTCTCAAGTGGCATTTCACAGCCGATCCTTTCATCTGGGAGGCTGATGGAGAGTGGCTGGGAATTGCAGAGCATTCTCTGGTCTATGGCACTGGGGAGAGAGAGAGATCAAGGTTCCCCTACGCCTGCAAAACAAGAGCCTAGTTCCTGAGGGAACTGTCAGGACCATCTCAGCTGAGCCCCACATGCTTCGAGTGCTCGAGGCCAAGCTCAAGGAGGAGCTCGAGGAGAAGACAAAGTATCAGGTGGGCTGGACGAGGTTTGAAGACAAGTGGGTTGGAGTCCATTTGGGAAAAGTCCTTCCAGAACCTGCAGTATGTGGGAGACACCCCATCAGCAGTGAGCTGGAAGAGAACAACGCTGGCTAAGATTGCTGGGAGTTGGCAGCTTCTGGAAATGCATGAGGACTTGCATCGAGTCTTCAATCAGGAGTAATTGATTGAGGGGGCCGGTGAGAATGTCATGGTGATCACTATCCTCGCCGACGAGACCATGAGTGTTGAAGATTTGGGATTTGAGGTGGAGACTGGACTACACCTGGATGAGCAGCCTATGGCTATTCGAGATCACGAGGTGGCTGCAGAGGAGAACGTGGAGCTTCCTGCTGAAGAGCCACCAGACGATGAATTGAGGTGGCAGGAGGAGAAGTTGAACAAGAAGCACGATTAGCTCTTGGGCCAAGAATGCCAGACCACATCATGGTGAATGGAATCCAGTTGACTTCAGTGAGCCCGCTGAGACAACTGAGAGCAGCGTGCAATTTCTGTGGCGTGAGCCAATCAGGCAGCCGCTTGAAGTGCTACCAACGCTTGGTGAGCCACACGCAGGAGATGGAGCTCAAGGCGGCGGCAGAGGCGGTGGCAGCAGCGCAACTTCAGGTAGCTCGCCAGCCTCGAAAACGGCCAGGTATCAAAGTGCCATCGCAGAAAAAGCAGGACAAGCATTGCCTCACACATGTTCCGTATCAGCCCTGAAGCACACAGGAAGACCTGATCGCCGCCTCAGGACAGGAGCTTCGAGGCTGAGTGGCATTCCTATCATTTCCTTGGACTTGTGCTACAGCAAAGGAGGAGAGATTGATAGGAACCCATGACCTATAGACCGAGGCCAACCTGATCTCTATGAAGAGGATGAGGCCAAGGAAGCTGAAGAGGTGCGTATCAAAGAGCTCAAACCAGCGTTGGTTGATCGTGGTGGATAGCCAGACGGGTGCTCTGGGCTCAGACCCGCTGAAGTCA